TTTGTCATTTTTGGTAAAAAGTTATATTTTGACTACTTGTTAAAAACCGCAAGTCTCATTGCATTGATACTATGCATATTGTTCATTTTCTAATGATATCTTCTGTTCTTTAATTGAAATATGCATTGCTAACAGCGGAGCTATCTCAGCCGAGAGGCTGCTTGTTTTGAGTGGCGCTCAGATGGCGCTCAGATGACGCTCAGAACGTTTTGGCTATAAGTTGTGGTAACAGATATAATCAAGAAGACACTAGAAAAACAAAGCCACATACTTTTTGACTCTCGTGTGCAGTTACCTTGTCTGTGTATGTGTGTGTGTGTGTGTGTGTGTGTCTGTGTGTGTGTGTGTACTTGGATTGCTATATGTTGCGAGGACAAAAATACAGATATATAGCTACTTCCGAGGACATACACACCTTCCGAGGACCTTTTTCATAGTCCTCGGAAAACATAATTTATATTAACAGTTAATTCGACTATTAATATGTTTTGCGTAGCTTAGGTTTAGTATCGGGGGAAGGTATGGTTCACGTTATATTAATATAATTGTGTGTGTGGGGGTGGGGGTGGGGGTGGGTGTGTGTGTGTGTGTGTTCCACGGATATCTCAAGAACCGTATGTTGGTTTTTAATGAAACTTGGTGTGTAGATAATCTGGACTTTTGGGTAAAAATCCATGCATATAATTAACCTAATTTGCATAATGATTAGTCAATTTTCAGCTTTTCCACTGATATCTCAGGTACTAATCATCACATTTCAATGAAACTTACATAGATACATAGGGTGATGAATTAATTAATTATTAATTACCAAATTTGCATAATAAATCATAATTGTTGGTTCTAATCACATTTCTATAAAACTTCGTATATAGATGGTCTGTGACAGTACTTGTCTTAATTCAATGAATCTTGGTACATATGTACTCTAACACAATGTGATGATCAAATTAGTTTTAGGTTTATACAAATCTATTATAATTACTTTTCAGCTTTCCACTAATTTAGTTAGAATTAATCATCACATTATAATGAAACTTTGTACATGTGTGCCCTGAAATAATATACAGACCTAAATATATGCATAATAATTGCTTTGTTGTTTATAATAATTGATTTGGTTCATTGAGGTAGTCCACAGACATGATTAGTTTAAAGTGCCTGTGCAATGCCTACCCTCACGTTTCCCATTTTAGATCTGTGTCCCACTGAAATGGGTATTTATTGATATATTTGCTGAAAATGATTACTCGTATCCAAGTAAATTTGGGATATTTCTCGTGTTGTAGCCACGCCCACCTATCCTGAAACGGTCAACTGTTTCCGGATTTCCAACTCTCGCCAAAAGTGCGCCACCAAATGACAAAATGTGAGAGGAAGTCATACCCCTTAGCCATAATAACACTGTTCATTCAGTATACTTTTAAACGATATACACACATTTTTGGAAAAACTGTCCTCGTCCATGAAAAAAAGCGACTAGGTTTAAAGAGAAACGTCGACAACGTAAACCTGGCACAACACTTTTGAAAGAAATAGATTCCGTACCAGCCCATGATCACCGAGGCGGATTTCAGAAGAGAGAGAGACGTCCGGCAAGTGTTTCAAATGAGTTGACTTTTTCTGCGATCCTGATAATCGTTATAGAGACCATTTAGTCCCTGTTAAGTAAAAGGTAGCAATAATTTTGACAGTGACACGAAAACGAAGCGTCGAACAAACAGGAAATTACACAGCCTTACACACTGCTAATTGTTTTCATTTTCGAAGGCTAAATGTTTCTGAATTGTTTGGTGATTGGTGTTGAATGTCGAATTCACACCTCTGTTTTTTTTTTACCTCCATGCTTGCAGCTTGATCTGGGTAATAATTTATGAAATAAGAATCCGGGCTTGGTCAATGTGTTTCCACCAAATAAAGTTTTAATACGATGTTATAATTAAGACAATCACGCCATGGATCACACTAACTCGAATCCACTCTGAATTTATCTGTATGTGTGTCGATCTCGATTATTTTTGTTATCCAATTAAACGCCGCTTTTAACGCACTTGCCCTCGTTGTGACCCGACACGTTCACCTATTTCAACAAAATGTCAATTTATTTCCACGCGGCTGTCATTTATTTAGTAACTGTGATTTGTCGTTTTTTTAATTATTTTATAGTGATCACTATAGTCTAAGGTTTAGAAATGTCAAAATATGTTTTCTTTTATTTTAATTTTGAAAGTTTTAATAAAACAGTGTAGTGACGTGTCTAGTAACCTGCTAAATAACGAGATAATTCCGACGTCA